CGTGGGATTGACCGTCACATTATAACGTCCCTACAGTTGAAAGGGCGAGCATGTTTAGTGGGACGGAGATTCGAACCCGCGACCCTCAAATTGCGAGTCGAGCGCCCTAACCACCTGGCCATGTTCTTGTCTTGAAAATTCAAAATCCCCGATCTGAACACATCTTTATGATCTATTTGCAGGGATATTTTGCGTTAGAAAGGACTGTTACAAACCCTTATCAAAAGTAATCAGTTTTTGAAGGCATCACACTACTTACGATATGGCAAACAATGTCTAAGTTAGTTCTTATTATGAAGTTGCCAAATAATGAATATTACAGGCCAGCTTTAGCCCCTCTCTCTCTTGGAAGGAGAGGGTAGTGTAGTTGTTGTTGACTCTTCTTAGCGATTTAAAAACATGATTTTTTAAACCGCTAGGGAGAGTGAATATGAGTTAGCCAGAGTGAAATTTGGGGTACACGTCCTACCCCAACAAACCTCTGACGCCTGCCCTGGAATATTCTCTTCCACGTTAGAATGTTTTATTGTCAAAAAAAATCTAATCGATGACCGATATTTTTGGGCGTTTGAATTAATACACAATTGAGGGTTGTAACATATCTGGCCTAATGGAGTAAAAATCATCAAAATGATGGACTACAAAAGGTAGTAGAGTTGTTAATTTGATTGTGGACTTGTCTTATTGTAAGTGATTATGGATTTGTCTTATTGTAAGTCTGTAATGGTTTGTTTGTTGTTAAGTACAAAGCCACACAATTGGCTATCTGTGCTGTGCTCACCAATGGAATCGAAACCCTATTTTTACAATTATAAGCCTTAAGAGTTACTACTGAGCCACTGGGGCGGAGCTGCTCGTACTAGACTAGACAATTCTACCAGAATGCCCATCATTTGACAAAGTAATCAATCGATTGCTATATATTACAAAAAAGATATCATCACTGTTATTTATCACTTTCAAATTTGTAACTGACTACCGTGATACAAAATAGCTTCTTAAGCTGCTCAAACGAAAACCCTGCTTTTGTTACACGTCAAACTCATTAGTCAATTTCCTTTGAAATGAGTTCAGAAACTGCTTTAGTTGTTAAATGATTTTAACACAGTCTTGTTTTTAAATTGCTTTTGAATACTTCCTGGCTTGATATTTCCAACACAGATTTCTTGATGCTCTGCTACTTCATTACTAGTACCTCGTAAGAATATTGGGATGAATTGTAGTGAATTAACATTTACAACATGATTGGTAGTTATGCCATTATGTTAGGGAGTTGTGATTTTCCAGTAACAAATGTTATATATAAAAGAAAGGATTTTGTGCTATTCTTAAGATTAATATTGCAAGTGTGTAAAATTCTCAATAGGAACAACTTCAGTAATACCAGAAAATTGTACCCTACAATTGCAATTAGAAGTTGGAAATTATCTTTCCCAAAGTTTTGAATCAGGGAACAGGTCTAGAATAAACGTCGTAAAGAAGCTGTAGTGTTATAGCATTTGAAGCATTTATCTGAAACTCCAGGTTTGAATTTTGCTATTTTATCTCCACATTAGGTAACCTTATACAATCCGTTCACTAACCTTGAAATCAACTGAGAATGGACTTCACGCTTTTTTCTCACCGAAATGGCAATGTAATAGAAAATTACACGATTTTGTAACGCTGAGTGGCAGGTTTGAAAGTACAACTTACTTCCGTGTTCTAAAAGTCAGGTTTTAAAATACAGCAGTGTTCTGCAACGTTTGCCACGAGTCACAATCGAAAGCACAATAGATCTTAGCACTGCCTACTACAAAACACGTACAACAAATCATTTTTATTGTCTTCTGGGAGCCACATTTGAGAGTACAACAGAATTTTGTGTTGTCTTCTGTGAGCCACGTTTGAGAGTACAACAGCACTTTGTAGTCTTTTTTGAGCTACGTCTGATAATACAATAGAGCTTTGTATCATACTTCCTACTAAATTGGCACTTTTTCTTATGAGTTACGTTTTAAGTATAACAAAACTTCACATTATATAATTAGTAATCATAATCCAATTTAAACCAAATATTTATACACAGCATCCTAAAACTGCGTTTCTGAATTGTGGTGTCTGCTAAATATACTGTATAAATACTTATTTTGTCATTACCATATTACACTGATTATATGCAAGCTATATAATTCAGTACTGAGGTTTACTAGGATGTTATACGTCAAACTTTAGATTTTAAATCAGTCTAACCATTTTCTTGTGAACGTTCTTCCCTTGTTCTTGAGAAACGAATTCTGCTTTTCTCTTTAGGGAATACTTAATTAGAAAAAAATGCAAGTATTCAAAACACTATCTGAGACAAGAAAATTTTGTGATTAAATGTTTATTTGATACTAAAATATATATTGACACCTACTACAGAATAGTTGCTAGCAGATAAGGTTAGCATTAAAAAAATAATTACACAAACACACATGGTTGTAGATATCTTAATAACAACAGCATTTACCACACTAGTCCATTTCATAACTTGTTTTTATCTCTGACAAGTAGAGCATATAAAGCTTTTGGTAGGTGTAAAACCCTTCCAGATTGAACTGGTCATTTCTTTAAGAACAGAACAATTTCAAATATGAAACTATTAGTAAAAGATCTAAACTTAAACAGTTGTTAAAGCAGAAAAAAAGCTTAGCAAACTGATTAAATCACAAAAATGCCACTAAACATTCTGTATGACACATGCCTGAAATACCGATTCCTAATCTACAAGTACATTCACTTCAAACAATAATGTAAGACAAAACTTGTCAGTTTTATATTGGTATAGGTATATATATTTATATATGATATACTATGAAGTTATGAATAATAATATATACATTTTAAGACTAACAATAACAATCTAATGTTGCTAGTCTAAGTATTAATACACAAGTTGGAGTTTAAAACCTGTATTTATATAGTTAAAACATAGTCATTTCTACGTTACTTATTAATGTCAAAAATACACTCCATGTTAATCTATTAAAAGTTTATGACATCTTTAAGAAACCAAACTTTTCAATAAAACACAAAACCTTTAGGATGATCCAACTTCTATTCAACGTGTGTTTAACTCATACTTCTCTGTCAACACCTAACCATAGTTAAGTTTGCCCACTACTTCCTACTTTCTCACACTTCTTGAAGTTAGTACTACTCTACCAATAACTTTCATTTAATCAGTTGTTTTCCCCTCTAAGCAACTCAAATGCTGTCAACAAAGCTCCAAACTAATGGGGTGATTTACTTAATGGATTTTATAACTTAAACACAGGCTAAACAATATTAAAACATTAGACTTCAGACCAACTTGCTAAGCCTAAATATAGCTCCCAGTGACATAGCATTAAGTTTGATGGCTATAGTGCTAAAAACTGGGTTTTTATACCTGTGAGTACAGCCCAAATAGCTTATTGTGTAGCTTTGTGCTTAATTAGAAACAAACACATAAAGCCAAAGTATAAAATTACTTCCTTTACTTGTTGATTATTTTCACACTGCATATAGTCAGCACTACTTGACTGGTAGTTTCTCAGAACAAACTTTCTGCATTTGCATGTAGTTAGACCTGCTTTATTAGTGAATTTCTTATATCAAACACCTTGTGTACAGTCAGAACAGCCTCATTAGTAACCTTCTCACAAAAAACACCTTGCATGTAACGAGAATAGCCTAATTAACGGCTTTCTTCACAACAAACACATTGCATCTAGTCAGACCTGCTCTATTAGTGACTTTCTCACAAGAAACACATTGCATGCAGCCAAACCTGCTCTATTAGTGACTTTCTCATACCAAACATCTTGTGTGTAGTCAGAACAGCCTCATTAGTGACTTTCTTACAACACCTTGAATATACTAATAAGTTAGTTCCAGCTAGTATTGCAAGTAGTCAATATATTAACTACTGCCTAGTTATTCATTGATAAGTACACCCACTACTTTCTACTTTAATATTTTTTTTATATAAATAATTTAAGATCCAGGTAGAATTTCTGTATTAAAAACTTTCTAACAAGAAACATTCAATACTGGCTTTATAATAAAATGTTTCTAAAACATTTGCAATCAATATATTCATGTACATAGATACCTTTTCCTTCTTCTCTCGTGTTTACCATTTTCATTAATTTTACATTTGCATTTTAACAAGAATTAAAATAACATGTTTCACATAAAATTATGAATTATCTAAATCAAATGTACTGCAGTGTTTTTTCTTTACAGTGAAAGGCATTGTACAGATGTTCTTTAATTAAATGTTTAACATACAAAAATATATAACTATATTTTTTAATACTTCCTGAATTTTTC